GTTTTTTTTTTTGGGGTTTTTTTTGGGGGGGGGGGCCAACTTATTCTTTTTTGCTTTCCCCACCCCAATGGGGGCCTGGGGCCTGGGGCTCCCCACAGTGGGAGGATTTTCCCGCCCTTCGGGGGAAATTTCCCTTCCCGTACGGGGGGGGGGACCCAATCCCCCCGGCCCAAAAAAAAGGGGGGTCCTGGTGTTTGGCCCCAAAGGAGAATTAAGAGGCTTTTCAGGGAGGGGTGTTTTACCCCCCCCCCCCCCCCCCACCCACCTTCCCTCCCCAAACACATTGCCTCTTCCGTTCCAGGTGGACCCTGAGGCCCCGGCCCCGGCCCCGGCCGCGGGTGCCAAGAAGCCGACGGTGCCCATCCCGAAAAAGGCATACCTCCCCGCGATGAAGAAGGCGCGCGCCCCCCCCCAGACATCGCCGTGCCTAACCGTGGCCTCCATCCCCCCCCCTTTTCAACCCATTTACCCCCCCCCCCCCCCACCCCCACCCCCTCTGTCGCATGCGCAGTCGCACGGGCTCCTCTAGACGGCCCCAAGAAGCACCTGCTCGCGCCGAGTGGAGAGGCCAGAGCGCCGAACGGCGCAGCTTGTCCTGAAGTGGAGCGGGAGGCGGCGGCGCGCGAATGAGCCAAGCCGTCGTACTAGAAAGACCGCCGCTGCAGCGGTGCAATGAGTATGAGGGACGCGTCGCAAGAACGACATGTATGTGCTAGCCCCCGTTGTGCGTGCGTGTGTGTGGGGTGACGGTGGGGCGGGGTGAGGCAGCGGGACTGGTGTGTGCACGTGGCGGTGCTTCCGCTATCGATTCGCTGCGGGAACACCGTCCGATGTGGTGGCTTGCCGTCCGTGTACGTGTACGCGTCGGCGTGTATCGGCTATCGCCTTGCGGGGGCGGCGCGGACGGACGGAAAGAATAGAGGCACCTCTTAGCGCCATCGCCATGGCGACGACGACTTATTGGGTCCCCCTCGGCACACCTCCGCTGCTTAATGTTGTTTGACGACTCGAACCCGTGAAGCTTCCCCGTGCGCGGGTTACCACGCACACGGGTGAGCCGGCGTGAAGCAACCCCCAGACCTGACCTGGGAGCAGGCAGTGATTGTGTGCCTGGTCCTGTTGCGCCCTTAGGCGACAGGCGACACCCACGCATAACATATGTCGCTCCGCCTGCTGCTGCCGCCTCTGCTGTGCATCCTCTCCCGCGGCTGCACGTCTGCTCCGCTGCCGCCGCGCTCTATTGGACGTCGTCCAGCACCCATAACTGACTCCCCTCGCAGCAGGCGGCGGCCACCGCCGTTGTCAGACCGCGCTGCCTTCCTCTCGCGCCGTGCCGCCGCCGCCGCCGCGTTGCCGCTGCTCCCGGCGCTCCTGCTTCCCTCGCCTCCCGCCTCCGCGCGAGAAGGATACGATCTCGAGACCGCCTTTGCGCTCACGGCGGTGCTCGACCTGCGTGCCATGGTGCTCGACGTCGACCGCCGCCTCTTTGCCGGCCTGCTTCGGTCCCCTCCCGCGACGTCGGTCACCGCCGAGGAGGGCGCGGGTGCGCGGGCCGAGGTGAGAAGGCTTCTTGCGCCGGACGTCTCGCCGCGCGAGCGCGTGCGCGACGCGCTCTCTCTCGCGCGCAAGGCTCGGCGCATCGAGCTGTGCAGCGCCGGCCGCGGCTGCGCGGCGACGGAGGCGGAGGAGCACGCAAGGGAGGCGCAGGAGCGGCTCGCCGCGATCCTCGAGTACGGTGCGTTCGACGGCCGCCGCACGAACGCTCTGAACGAGCCCGTGCCGCTGATGACGCCCGACGAGCTTCGCTTTGTCCACCGCGCGCTCGTGTCGGCTCAGCGCGAGCTCACGGCCGCCTTCGACTGCTTCGGAGCAGACGAGCGGCGGGAAGCGGCTCGCTTTGCGGCGCGGGCCGCGAAGGGCGACCTCGTGCCGCTGGGGCTGGATGCCCAGGCGCGCCAGATACTGGACGGCCAGGACCGCGCCATCGGCGACGCCATCCGCGGGCTTGGCGGCCCGCCCCCGTCCCTGTACGCGGACGACTTGCAGCGTCAGAACGACGCCCTGCTGGCGGGCAGCGACGGCAGGTAGCAAACAAACAAAATAAAATAAACTGGGCTGGTTGAATCCCTCACCCTCGAGGTGTGCAGTAAACCCGTTTTTGCGAGGGTGTGTTTTGTGAAATTCTTTGCCTCGAGCCGTCTAGGTGAAGGGGCAACCAGTATGAAGGAGCGGATCACCCCTGCGCCCTCGCTGCACGCGCTGCCGCGCTTTTTGGGCCGCCCCCACCGTTTGCGCGCTTTCTCGAGGCCCGGGCCGCGCGTGCGCCGTGCCCGTGGGGGTGGGGGGTGGAGGGCCGCGTGGGGGCCCCCTAGCCCTACCACTCAGCGCAGTCGGAGAAGCCGATGAACGAATCTCTCTCTCAGTGTACGTGTACTTTTAGCCTAATGGGAGAATTTTAATTGGAGCCCCTCTGCCTCCGTGGCCACCGTCGGAGCCGGATGCGTGGCCGAGGAACCCCCCGAGGTGGCGGCGCAACCCTCATCGTCGTCGCTCGGAGCCTCCGCTCCAACCCCGGACTCCGACTCCTGCTCCACCTCCACCTCCACCTCGTCGTCGCCACGCAGTGCCTCCGCCCCCTCCACCGCAGCCCCCACCGCAGCCTCCGCCTCCGTCGCCACCGCTCGGGGCTCCCACTGAGGCACCACACGCCGATGCATCGAGACAAGTGCGGTTTCAGACACCACAGCCAGATGCAAGGCTCGCCGGCACGCCGGGCCGGCTGTCGCCGATGCATCGAGCGGCCGCTTTGCGGAGCGCCGCTCTCTCCGCGGCGCGTAGTCATGCGGCCCGGCATGGCCTGCCGGCAGAATGCACCCAAAGGCGCCGCCGACGCGCTCGTGCGTGTTGCCGCAGAGCCGCCCTCGTGGCGCGCTGAGCGGTGCAGACGTCGCCAGAGGAGAGGGCGCCGCACGCCGCCAGTCGGTGCCCTCTTCGCGCCACGTGAACCAGTGACAGACTGCCTCATCGGACGGCGAGCGGGCCACCGCCTGGAACCAGCCATCCGCCATGACGGCCGTGACGGTCGCACGGCGGCACACGGTCGACAGTCCGTCCTCATCCACCTCAATCTCGTCCCCTTTGCGCGGCCACTCCCAGCCGGCGGGCGGCGGCGGCGTGGCGGAGGCGGCGATGAAGAGCTCGGACGCACCGCCCGCCGCGCCGATTGCCTCGTCGGCGTCCACCTCAATGGCCTCGGCGTCGACCCACGCGGCGCTGCCCGAGGAGCCGGCGTCCGACGCGTCGTCATCAACGACGGTTGCGGCGACGGATACCACCACGCCGTTCCCCTTCCCGCCGCCCTCCACGAGCGGTGCCCGCCCCAGCGCTAGGCCTGCCGCCGCCTCCGCCGCCTCCGCCTCACTGCCGTCCTCGCCATCCACCGAGTCGCCTGTCGCCGCTTGCAGAGCTGCTGCTAGCGTCGGTGAGCGCTCGAGCCACGTCGTTAGCATCCTCCAGCGGCCGGGATCCAAATGTGCCTGAAACCCACGGACCAAGTGTGCGGCAGCCGCTGCCGCATAGTCCTTTTTCCTGCACTTGAGCACGTTCACGCGCCGTCGTCTCGCCGAGATCGTGGCCGCAAGGTCTGCGAGCGCTTTTTTGTGACTCTGCCGTGCAAGCTTCGCCGCCGCTGCTTTCCTAGCGGCCCGACTGCCAGGCACGGGCACGGCCGCCTCGCCGCTGGCCGCCGCCCTTGCCGCTGCCGTCGCCGCCGCCACCCTCGCCGCCGCCCTCGCCGCCGCCCTTGCCGCCGCCCTCGCCGACGCCGCCCTTGACACTTCGGCAACTCTGGACAGAGCCGGGTCTATCTCGCCCGCCAAGGCCGCGACGACTGCGCTGGCCAGGGCCGAAGGAGGTGGATCCCCTGCCGGCGGAGCGGGCGCAGCACCAAGCGGCGCGGCGGGCGGCGGCTGGGGCGGCGGCCGGACGTTGAAGACAGAGCCCGGGAAGTAGCCGGGAGGGACGATGGCGCGCAGCATCCCCGCCGGAGTGGAGAGCCGGAGAGTCTGCCCCGGGCCGCAACCGTGCGGGACCGTGACCGAGAGGAGGTCTGCCACGACGCATCCGGCCATTCGAGCTGGCGTCTGGGTTCCAACTTTTCCGGAATGTGGTATGGGCCGCGCTGATGGTCCTTGCGATCAGCAAGGCCGAGGCGCGAGGGCGGGGACAACGCGGGAGCGCGCGGGCGATCGATTTCTTTTTGATGCACACTGTTCCACGTGAAGCCGAAAGACGGACTTGCGGCTGCGAAAGTGGCCGAAGAGGTGGTTAGCGCCATCCTGGAACGAATCTCTGAGCGGGTGGAAGGAGGAGCGGAGGAGGGGATGAGGGTGCGCCTGCGCCACGCCATGCAGGGACAGGGAGTGTTCGTGTGCTTTTGTTGCGCAGCCCCTGTGGTCCGTGAGAAGAGGAGGAAAGGAGGCGGGTTGGCGGCGAGGGGGGGACAGCCGCCGCAACAGGCGAGCGCATCCCGAGCCGGGGCCGCACCTGCGGGTCGGCCTTCCCCGACACGGACTCTGCCACAAAGGACACGAGACAGCCCGGTGAGGTTCGTGCCGGCAGCAGACAGGGTGAGACAACGACGGGATGCGATCCGAGAAGCCGAGAGGGATCAAGAGGCCGCGGTGGCGGGCGAGAAGGCAGTCCTGGCGGAACTTAGGGCGATCGGTCTGTCGTTCGCGGCCAGCACCGGCGTGCTCAGGCCAGTACAGGCACGAGAGGTGCGGGGCCTGGCTAAACGACTGGTCGGCTCGACAGATCTTCTTGGACAGGTTTTCCGGTGGGAAGGGGAGGACTACCTCGTCAACGATATTGCACCAGGACCGACGTCGTCGGGGAGACAGGCGCTGAAGGCGTACGCCTGCTGTGTGAAGAGGCGTGTGGCATCGGCGGGCCCACTGTCCGAACACAACTCGGCCTTTGATATCCGGGCGGTGCGGGACCGAATCGAGAAGGACCGGGCGAGGGGGGAGGCGACGCGACTACTGCGCAGTCTGCGGCCTGATGCGGAGCGGGAGGGGGGAGAGGCGGGGCCGTCGACGAATCCGGGCCCTGCCCCCCCCCCCTCCCCGAGGGGAGACGAGAGCTAGGCCCCCCCCCACGAGCGGGGTGGACGGCCGACGCGTGGAACCACGGCTGGAACGGCCGCGGGGGCAAGGGGCCGCCCCCGAAGCCCCGCTCGTGGAGTTGGGGCGGCTGGCTCCGCCACCAGGTCCACCCCCACCACCACCGCCTCCGCCCCCGCCGCTGGAGCAACCGCTGGGTCGAGGGGCCAACTCTGAGGCCCCATACCAGGCGGTGCGGCCGCCAGTGCCGCCACTGTTTCCGCCACCCACGCTGCCACTTCCGCCCCCGCCGCTGGAACGGCTGCAGGATCGTGGGGCCGCCCCAGCGGCTCCACACCAGGCGCGTTGGCCGCGAGGGCCGCCACCGTGCCCGCCACCCCCGCCTCCGCCTCCACCCCCGCCGCCGGCGGAGCCGCCACCGTGTGGCCCCACTCGGAATAATCAGAGGGATCCGGAGCCGCCCCACCGGAGGCTGGAGTACCCGAGAGGAGGAGCTGGGGGAGGGGAGTCGCCGCAATACGATAACGGACCCGCCGGCGAACCGGAGGGCCGTGGCCGGAGGGCCCCGGGGGGGGCTTGGGGTCAACTCTCGGAGGAGGTGAGAGTCGAGCTGACTCGGCCTCTGCGAGTGGAACCGGGCCGTGTGAGCCCGCCAGGGGTAGACCCGTCGCGGCGTTGGATAGACCGCCGTGACTCACGACAAAAGGGACCGCGCCTTCCCGAGTTTAGTGAGGAGCAGGAGGAAGGGGAGGGCGAGCCGAGAACGATAGAGAGGCCACGGGTGCGGGCGCGACTCGCTGACCGGGGAGAGCCGGCCCGACCTCCCGGAGAGGAGTGGCGACGAGTGATGCCGCCGCCCTCACCCGGGGAGTCGGGCGTGGGATCGCCGGAGGCGGAGTCAACAGGATCAGGCAGAGAAGACGAGACGGCGGCGGGGCCGCAGCCGAAAAAGGCTAGGAGGGGAGGTCGGGCCCCGCGCCCATCGCACAACTATCGGGATGCGGCCAGGAGGAAGGACCGAGAGGTGGGGGAAGACGCCCCGGAGTGAAAGTTGGGAGACCTCGAAGAGGGGCCCGGTGTGGTGAGGTGCCGGGTGTGGATGGGCGTCGAGTCCGTGTCGAGTGTTTACTAGCTCCGAGTAGAGGGGGCGTTCTGCTGCTAGGGGAAACCTGGAGCGCGGAGCTAACCCTCGGAGACCCGTGTTTACTTTAAGGCCCTTGCCCTGCGAATGCGCACCCCCCCTAGCTAGGGGTCAGGGCTCTCTAGCCCGTAGCCCGATGCCGATCATCCGGCTCGCTGGGTGCGCTTCTCAGCTCTCCGGCCCTGGATGTGAGGTTAATGACTGCACTCCAAGTGCTCCAAGATGCAGCGGTGCGCTGCCAGCGGTGGAGGAGATGCGAAGCGACCTACGAACGCATAAGGCGACGCGTGGTCCACCGGGGTATTAGGCGCTGCGGCAGAGTGCCTAGTATTACGTCACGTAAAAGCAACTCGAGCGCGGAGAGAGATTGAATCTCGCTCGAGCGCGGTGGCGTGCGATTTCATCGCGCAAATCGTGTTGCGGCCGCCCCCTCAAGCCCCTTCCCACCAAACTCAGCAAGAAAACAGTAAAAAAAGGCCGCGGAGGTGTGGCAGCGCGAATTCTTTTTCTTGGTCTTTTTCTTACTGTTATTTTTTCTTTTTTCGAGGCGTGGCAGACGGTGAACGAGCTAGCGTGCGGGGAGAGCGGCATTGTGCACGGAGCTAAGTGCATTGCCGTTCTTAGCATTGCCGTTCTTAGTGGTGTGCCTGTGATTGTGCTAGCACGCGCCAAAAAAGAAGGTGTGTGACTCCGCGAATTCTACTCCACAACCCCGCCCCACGGCACCGCCTCAGCGAGCACATCTTTGAACAGCGGCTCGGTTTCGAGCAGCGAGTCGAACGCGGGGGAGACTGCGCTCTCCATCGCTTCGTAGCCCCACTTGCATCCCTGGTCGCCGAGGCGGAGCAGCACGGTGTGCTTGGTCGCATCGCACGCCTTGTTGAGGATGGGCGACGCCTCATTCTTGATGCGGTCTTGGATTGCTGCGTCTGCATCGTGCAGGCTCACTTTGCCGTCCTGCGCGAGCTCACTGAGCAGGCCGTGCTTGCGCTTCGCAAAGCCCTGTGTGGCTTGCTCAGGCGGCACCCAGGGCTCGCCGCACGAGACATAGGTCGTGTCACCGCTCTCAATGGTCTCAAAGTCATCGGCGAGGACCAAATCGCCCGTCTCAGTGAAGCAGAGCGTCGCCGGCGTCGTAAGCTGCAGCTTATCGCTAGCTTTGCTGAGGAGTTCGGCGTGCGACTGCGGAAAGTTGATCTGACAGCCCGTCGACTGGCCCACGCGGCGCACGATCAGCTTCGATGGCAACCTCGGACTCCGACTCCTGCTCCACCTCCACCTCCACCTCGTCGTCGCCACGCAGTGCCTCCGCCCCCTCCACCGCAGCCCCCACCGCAGCCTCCGCCTCCGTCGCCACCGCTCGGGGCTCCCACTGAGGCACCACACGCCGATGCATCGAGACAAGTGCGGTTTCAGACACCACAGCCAGATGCAAGGCTCGCCGGCACGCCGGGCCGGCTGTCGCCGATGCATCGAGCGGCCGCTTTGCGGAGCGCCGCTCTCTCCGCGGCGCGTAGTCATGCGGCCCGGCATGGCCTGCCGGCAGAATGCACCCAAAGGCGCCGCCGACGCGCTCGTGCGTGTTGCCGCAGAGCCGCCCTCGTGGCGCGCTGAGCGGTGCAGACGTCGCCAGAGGAGAGGGCGCCGCACGCCGCCAGTCGGTGCCCTCTTCGCGCCACGTGAACCAGTGACAGACTGCCTCATCGGACGGCGAGCGGGCCACCGCCTGGAACCAGCCATCCGCCATGACGGCCGTGACGGTCGCACGGCGGCACACGGTCGACAGTCCGTCCTCATCCACCTCAATCTCGTCCCCTTTGCGCGGCCACTCCCAGCCGGCGGGCGGCGGCGGCGTGGCGGAGGCGGCGATGAAGAGCTCGGACGCACCGCCCGCCGCGCCGATTGCCTCGTCGGCGTCCACCTCAATGGCCTCGGCGTCGACCCACGCGGCGCTGCCCGAGGAGCCGGCGTCCGACGCGTCGTCATCCACGACGGTTGCGGCGACGGATACCACCACGCCGTTCCCCTTCCCGCCGCCCTCCACGAGCGGTGCCCGCCCCAGCGCTTGCGCCGGAGCACGCGCTAGGCCTGCCACCGCCTCCGCCGCCTCCGCCTCACTGCCGTCCTCGCCATCCACCAAGTCGCCTGTCGCCGCTTGCAGAGCTGCTGCTAGCGTCGGTGAGCGCTCGAGCCACGTCGTTAGCATCCTCCAGCGGCCGGGATCCAAATGTTCCTGAAACCCACGGACCAAGTGTGCGGCAGCCGCTGCCGCATAGTCCTTTTTCCTGCACTTGAGCACGTTCACGCGCCGTCGTCTCGCCGAGATCGTGGCCGCAAGGTCTGCGAGCGCTTTTTTGTGACTCTGCCGTGCAAGCTTCGCCGCCGCTGCTTTCCTAGCGGCCCGACTGCCAGGCACGGGCACGGCCGCCTCGCCGCTGGCCGCCGCCCTTGCCGCTGCCGTCGCCGCCGCCACCCTCGCCGCCGCCCTCGCCGCCGCCCTTGCCGCCGCCCTCGCCGACGCCGCCCTTGACACTTCGGCAACTCTGGACAGAGCCGGGTCTATCTCGCCCGCCAAGGCCGCGACGACTGCGCTGGCCAGGGCCGAAGGAGGTGGATCCCCTGCCGGCGGAGCGGGCGCAGCACCAAGCGGCGCGGCGGGCGGCGGCTGGGGCGGCGGCCGGACGTTGAAGACAGAGCCCGGGAAGTAGCCGGGAGGGACGATGGCGCGCAGCATCCCCGCCGGAGTGGAGAGCCGGAGAGTCTGCCCCGGGCCGCAACCGTGCGGGACCGTGACCGAGAGGAGGTCTGCCACGACGCATCCGGCCATTCGAGCTGGCGTCTGGGTTCCAACTTTCCCGGAATGTGGTATGGGCCGCGCTGATGGTCCTTGCGATCAGCAAGGCCGAGGCGCGAGGGCGGGGACAACGCGGGAGCGCCTCGCGCGGATGCGAGCGATTTCTTCCCGCAAATCGTTGTTGCGGCCGCCCCTCAAGCCCCTTCCCACCAAACTCAGCAAGAAAACAAAACAAGGTAAGATTCTTCGGGCCAGTTTGGGGGGGCAAACCCTGCCCGCCCCCTAGCGCCCCAGGTACCGTCGGGTACTTATTTTAAGACGAGGTAAACAGCAATAGATCCGGGTGCAGTGCCGGATCAGTTCCTGGAGCCAGGGGGACCGATTCGCGCTTGCCAAGGGACCAATTGCTGGAAGCCTGCGCAGCCTGCGCTCCGGCCGGCAGAGGGCTTGCGACCCGTGGCAGGGTGACAGCCAGCCGGTGGGCGAGCCAAACTCTGGCGGAGGCAGCCCGCTCAGCCCCAGGCGCCCCTCGAACCGGACGGAGGGTGGTCTGCCGCCGCTGCGCGGTCGGCGCGCCGAGGGCGGGAGACATGAGCTTCGCGCCACAGGTGACCTGGGTGGGGGACCGATTCTCGGCAAGTTTGGCAGGACGGGCACTGCAAAAGGATCGATTGCTGTACAACGAGGGACCGATTCCGTGAGGGCTGGGTATCGATTAGGCCGCTTGAGGGCCGGATCTATTGCTGTTTACCTCGTCTTAAAATAAGTACCCGACGGTAAGGCCCACCCAGGTGTGGCCTAGGGCATCAGAAGCGAGAAGGGACCAAGAGGAGTCCAGTCTGAGCCATAGAGCCCATGACTTTGCCCCCGAAAGTCGCGTTCAAATGCCCGGAACGGACGTTACAGTGGTGTCCGGCCGGCGCGATCACCGAGCTGTGACGCTCAGGGAAGCCTGATGTTGGAGGTGCTGGACAGATGATGACGACACGCACGAGCGACACACAGACACAAACAAGCTCACAAGACACACAGCAAACAAATGGGAGCACTGGAGAGGAAAAGAAAAACAACGGGCGCTCTCTCGAACACGTCGCCAACAACGCCCTGCAGCAAGACATGTTCGACGCTATCGTCAACGACCCGAAGGTACACCCGGCGACGCGAGCGCACTTCCGCTCCACGAAGCAACTCGGGGCGGGCGCGGTGCTCGGCATCGACGTCGTCCACAAGGACGTCGAGCTGAACGACAAGGCGTGGCTCCACGAGGCGCAGGGCTACCTCAACCACCCAAAGGGCGCCATCACCCTCGCCACGCGCTGCGTCGGCGTGGGCCCTAACTCGGTGTGCATCTACCACCGCACGAGGCTAACGGGATGCGTCCCGTGCGACATCGGCGAAGCGCGAGTGCCGCGCACGCTGTCGCTCTTCGAGCACCTCAACGGTACGCACTGGGACGGGTGCAACTACGGCGGCTGGCTGGCCACGGGGCACACGTCCCTCAACACCCACGTCACGAACGTCGCCCGCGCCTTCGGCGCCTCGGCAAAGGTCATGGAAGTGAGGCTCGGCTGCAGGGACCCGACGCGGGCGCACGATCCGGACACCAACCCGTACCAGCGGGGCGACGGCGTCTTCGGCAACTATGCAGAGTCGGCACGCGCCGTGGTGTACGACGGCACGTGCGTCACCGCGGTGCACCATGACAAGCTGCGCCCGCTGGCGAGCGGCAAGCGCCTAGCCACCGACTACGCCGAGGAGACGAAGCGGAAGGCCAAGGCAGCGGCGTGCGACGCCAAAAACTGCGACTTTATGACGTGGGCGGCGAGCACGCGCGGCGGCATCGGGCACGAGGCGGCGACGTGGTTCAACACCAACTTCGACATCAAGGCCGCTAAGGCGTCCTCCGACAGCGAACGATGGCGGGTCAGTGGCGAGCGCAAGCGCTTCCTGCAAGTGCACTCGGCCATCGTCGCGAGGCGCAACGCCGCCATCTTCGACTACAACGCGTGGCCAAAGATGGGCGGCGAGATGCCGCGGGCGCCCCGAGAGCAGTACGAGTAGGGACGGGCGAGGGAGGAGGGGCGCTAACCACGGGCGACTACAAGTCGAAGGTTCGAGGACGACTACTCACCGCCTGGGTCGTTTGGGGCGCGCGGCTCCGTCGAGGACCGGGCGCGCCCCTTACCCGGCGCGGCGTAGGTCCCACTCTGACGTATAGAGGGGAGGCACGGACACCAGCCCAATCCATCAATTCCACTCGTCTTCTGGTGCCTAGCCCCGTGCAGCGACGGTCCGGCAGGCTGCCCCCAAGGCCCCCTGGGCCGCTGCGGGTTTTGGAGTTATGCTTTGGCACAGCTTCGGCGATGGCGGCCCCTCTCTTGGGCTTGCATAGGCGGGGAGTCTCCCCCGCTGGTCTCCTCATTCCCTTTTTTTCTTTTTCTTTTGAGAGCAGGACGCCGGGTTTGTCTTGTATGTGCGTGTCGGGCCGGGGTGTGGGCGAGGGGCAGAAGGGGCGGGGGCGTGCGGGGCAGAGTGCGTGTCGGGCCGGGGTGTGAGCGAGGGGCGGGGGCGTGCGGGGCAGAGGCCCAACGTCGGGCGGCTTGTCGGGGTCCGGAGCATTCGAGGGGGGAACGAGGAGGGGGGAATGGGCGGTCGGCGACGAGTAGAGCAGCAGGCGCGTACGGGGTAGCCGTCACTTTCCTGCCTCACAAGGGCGGGGCTGTCCCGGAAAGTGAGAAACGCCGGGCAGCGTGGCGCATTACTGAACCCTCCCATACGTGCTCGTACTCCTCCTTCGCTGTCCCATCTCCCCACCTCTTTCCCGCCTGGGCGGGGCGGTGGGCGGGCGCGCGGTGCGGCGCGGCGTGTGCGTGTGTGCGTCTGCAACGAAGGACCGCTCGCAGAGGACCATTGGGTTTGTACTATTAACAACGAAGGCGCTCTCAAAAAAAAGAAAAAATCGTCTCCGCCTCACAGAGTTTCTACGAGCGCCGCTGCTGCCAGCGGTGCTGAGCAGCTCTACACAGGCCAGCGCACCCGCCGCCAGCGCCGATGACGACGGAGACTCGCACGGCCGCTGCCGGGCCCTCGCGCACCGCCCCTGTCGCCGATCCGCTCGAGCAGAAGACGCTGCACATCTTCGTCAGCCGCGCGCTGCAGAAGATCCTCAGAGAGGCGAGCCTCACACACACCTGCCCTCTCGCGGCGTCGGTCCCTCCTCGCCTCCAAGGCCGGGCGCTCTCTCCAGCGCCTCTCTGGCGCCGCGCGCCGACCCGGCTCGCGCACGCACTTGGCGCCACTGACGAGGGCCCCGCCTCTCTGCACGCTCTCAGGCGCCAAAAAAGTACACCGAGCTGCGCAAGGCCTGCATCGAAGTGATCGGTGCGCGTCGCCGCCGCGCGCGCGGCGCCTCGCAGCGCCACTGCCCACCAAGAGGGGCCCCACGGCGCCCCCGCGTGCGCCAGCGCTCAGCACCGCTCCCCCCCTCTGGCTGCAGAGGAGCTCAAGGCCGTCGGCGACGGCCAGCTGCCGGCGGAGGCGGACCTCGCGGCGCCGTCGCCGACCGGGCCCACGCCGAGCGCCGCGCAGCTGCAGCAGGCCGCGGCGGGCGCTGAGGCGGCTGCGGCGGTCGAGGCGGAGGAGGGCGGCGCTGGCGCCGAGGCCGCCGCCATCCTCTCGCCGGCGCCGTCGGGCCGCGAGCCTGCGACGCCGAGCTTCTCCTCGCCGGACCACGACGCGGATCCCGACGGGACGGCCGCCGCCGCGGCGCGCATGGCCCTCGACGACGTCGCTCCCGTGCCGGGCACGGACCGCTACTTTGTGCCGCTTCGGCTCGCCTGCGAGTCAAAGCTGCCGCGCATCATGGAGGTGTCGCTGCACTGCATCCAGAAGATCATCGCGTACGGGTACGTGCGCGGCAAGGTCGCGGGCGAGAAGCCCTTCGTGGACGTGGTGATGGAGACCATCTGCTCGTGCAAGGACGAGGAGGACAAGGAGGTGCAGCTGCAGATTGTGCAGGCCGTCAACACCGCCGTCACCTCGGCCGTCACCGCGGTGCACGACACGACGCTGCTGCTCGCGGTCAAGACGTGCTTCTACATCTACCTGGTCTCGAAGAACGGCACCATCCAAAAGACCGCCAACGCCACGCTCACCCAGATGCTCGACGTCGTCTTTGCGCGCCTCGAGTCGCCGGGCGCATCTTCGATGGCGCAGAAGGACGCGTTCCTCGTGTTTCGCTCGCTGTGCAAGCTCTCGATGAAGCCGCTCCCCGAGCCGCTGCCCGCCGACGACTCGATCGAGCTGCGCTCAAAGCTGCTCTCGCTGCAGCTCCTCTACTCGATCATCGCCTCCTCCGGCGAGCGCTTCCGCGGCGGCGAAAAGTTTGTGTGGGCCATCCGGCAGTACCTCTGCCTCTCGCTGCTGAAGAATGGCGTCTCGCCCATCCCTGCCATCCTGCAGCTCTCCCTCGACATCTTCGTGACGCTGATCAAGTACTTCAAGGCGCACCTCAAGTCGGAGATCGGCGTCTTCTTCTCCAACATCCTCCTCCGCATCCTAGAGTCCTCAAACTCGTCGGGGCCGCAAAAGCGGCTCACCATCCAGGTACCCGAGAGTAAGCCGAGAGTTGCCGAGAGATTAGCCGAGATTAGCGGATCCACCCTCTCGCGGCCCGGTGCCGCGCGCTGCCGAGAGTTGCCGAGAGATTAGCGCACCACCCTCGCTGGATCCACCCTCTCGCGGCCCGGTGCCGCGCGCTGCCTCGCCGCACCGCGCGCCGTCCGATTCGCGACGGGCGGGCGCGGGCGCGGGGGGGAGCACACGAGGCGAGCCAGCCGTTCGAACGAGCCCTGCGCAAGACCCTTGCGCGCGCCCGCTCAGGCGCTGCGCGTGCTCGTCGCGGAGCCGCAGCTCATGGTGGACCTGTTCCTCAACTACGACTGCGACCTCGAGGGGAAGGGCATCTTCACCTCGATGTGCGACGGCCTCTCGCGCCTCACCCTCACCCTGCAGGCCCTCTCCGAGACGACCGAGCAGGACGCGCAGCTCAAGCAGCTCGCGCTCGAGACGCTGGTCGCGATCGCCGACTCGATGGTCGCGTGGGAGCGCGACGTCAAGGCGGAGGGCGCCGGCGCGGCGGTGACGCCAGTGGGCCAGCGGCCGCCCTCGATCGCCGACAGCAGCTCCGTGTCGATGGTGGGGCCGGAGCCGTCGCCCGTGCACCGCGGCGGCGGCGAGGCTGCGGGCGAGGCGGGGCAGAGCCCGGGCGGCGGCGAGGCGGGCGGCGAGGTGACGGCGGTGGTTGCGTCGCGCGAGTCGGTGGACTTCGAGGCGATGTTCCACCGCAAGCACGAGGTGCACGAGGGCGTCATCAAGTTCAACATGAAGCCGAAGCGCGGTACAGCCGCCGCCTGCGCGGAGGAGTGGTCGGCCAGTTGTGAAGCGGCCTACATGGCCCACTCCTTGAGTAGGCATCCGCTACCTGCGCGAAGTGTGCGGGCTCGAGGACACGCCGCAGGCATTGGCGCACAGAAGCGCAACACGTATTCTTGTATCCAACCGTATTCGGCTGAGTTCACTGTATTCTTCTCCGTTGTCTTCACGCGGTGCTCTGAACACGCTGCACGACGCCGTTCTCCCGCCCTCATGTCGGGTTTTCCACGCCGCAGGCCGTGGCGCGCTTCCTGCGCGAGACCGACGGGCTCGACAAGAGAGCCGTCGGCGACTACTTGGGCGAGGGCGAGGACTTTTGCAAGCAGGTGCTGTACGCTTACGTCGACTCGATCGACTTTGCGAACCTCACGTTTGACCAGGCGCTGCGCCGCTTCCTCACGCACTTTTGGCTGCCGGGCGAGGCGCAGAAGATTGACCGCATGATGGAGAAGTTCGCCGAGCGGTACTGCTCGCAGAACGAGGGCGTCTTCGCCAACGCGGACACGGCGTACGTGCTCGCCTACTCTCTCATCATGCTCAACACGGACGCGCACTCGTCGCAGATCAAGAAAAAGATGACGCAGCAGGAGTTTGTCAACATGAACCGCGGCATCAACGACTCTGGCGACCTGCCGACCCCCTTCCTCGAGTCGCTCTACCAGGCCACCCTCCCCTACCCCTCGGAAACCGAACCCACCCTCCCCTACCCCACGGTCCCCGAACCCACCCTCCGAGTCGCTTCCGCACAGGCCATCACGACCAACGAGATCAAGATCAAGGAGATGATGGAGCACGAGCGGCGCGCGGCGGCGGCGTCGAGCGACGCCGCGCGCACGTCGCGCTCGAAGCTCTTCAACCTCGAGTCGGCCATCATGGTGCGGGACACGTCCGAGACACGTCCGAGACGCGTCCGAGACGCGTCCGAGACACCTCCGAGACGCCTCCGAGACGCGTCCGAGACAAGCGCTCGACCCGTGCCCCAGCCGACCGCCCGCCCGCCGCCCGCGCCCTGCTGCAGGTCAAGGAGTCCCAGGAGCTCTTCAAGGCTAAGGCGCGCACACCTAGAAGCGGAAGACGCAGTCTTGTGCTCGAACACTCGCGCTCGAGAGGACACGCACTGCCGCGGTGCGGGCACTCACTGCCGCTGTGCGGGCACTCACTGTATTCGTAGCCCCCCTCGTGTTCACGCGGTGCTCTGAATGCACTGCGTGTCCATGACGCAGGCGCGTGCAAGCGCGCCGTGTACCACACCACCCACGGGGCTGAGCCCACACTGGATTCGGTACTCTGGAGGTATGGTACTAGGCGCGCAAGCGTGCCGTGTACCACTCGTCGCGCAACGTCGAGCACGCGCGGCCGATGTTCGAGGCCTGCTGGTGCGCGCTGCTCGCCTCATGGTCCACAATCATGGAGGAGCGGTACGACGACGCCGTCCCCGTCGAGCTGGTCGCGCTGGTACGCACGCACGCACGCACGCACGCACGCACGCACGCACGCACGCACGCACGCACGCACGCACACGTACACGCGTACACACCCACCCACCCACCCACCCAACCGCGCGCACCTCGCCTCTACCCTCGAGCTTCAGAAGGAGGTGCGTCTCCAGGTCATGCGCGGGTTTGCCAACGCGGTGCACATCGCCGCCGAGTTTGGGATGGCGACGGAGCGCGACGCCTTCGTGACGATGCTCGCAAAGTACACCTACCTCGACTCTGGCAAGACGATGGGCGGCCGCAACATCGAGGCCTTCAAGACCATCCTCTCGCTCGCGCTCACCGATGGGGACCACCTCGGCGGGGCCTGGGCGCAGGTGCTCCAGTCTGCTCTCGGCTCCTCTCGGCTCCTCTCGACCCCTCTCGGCCCCTCTCGCCTCCTCTCGGCTCCTCTCGGCCCCTCTCGCCTCCTCTCGCCTCCTCGCGGCTCCTCGCGGCTCCTCTCGCCTCCTCTCGACCCCTCTCGCCTCCTCTCGGCCCCTCTCGGCTCCTCTCGCCTCCTCTCGCCTCCTCTCGGCCCCTCTCGGCTCCTCTCGGCTCATCTCGGCTCACCTCGGCTCACCTCGGCTCACCTCGGCTCACCTCGCCTCCTCTCGGCTCCTCTCGGCCCCTCTCGGCTCCTCTCGGCTCCTCTCGGCCCCTCTCGCCTCCTCTCGGCTCCTCTCGGCCCCTCTCGGCTCCTCTCGGCGCCTCTCGCCTCCTCTCGCCTCCTCTCGGCCCCTCTCGGCCCCTCTCGGCTCATCTCGGCTCACCTCGGCTCACCTCGGCTCACCTCGGCTCCTCTCGCCTCCTCTCGGCTCCTCTCGGCTCCTCTCGCCTCCTCTCGGCCCCTCTCGCCTCCTCTCGCCTCCTCGCGGCTCCTCTCGCCTCCTCTCGCCTCCTCTCGCCTCCTCTCGCCTCCTCTCGCCTCCTCTCGCCTCCTCTCGGCTCCTCTCGCCTCCTCTCGGCTCCTCTCGACCCCTCTCGGCCCCTCTCGCCTCCTCTCGGCTCCTCTCGGCCCCTCTCGCCTCCTCTCGCCTCCTCTCGCCTCCTCTCGCCTCCTCTCGCCTCCTCGCGGCTCCTCGCGGCTCCCCACGGCTCCTCTCGTCCGCAGGTGCTCAAGTGTCTCTCCGAGTTCCAGCGGCTGCACATGATCGGCACCGGCGCAAAGACCGACGCGTCCATCTTCTTCCCGGCGGCGCGCGCCGGCGCCAACGGCGCCGCCGGCCTGCCGCCGCCCGGCGCGCCGGGCCTCGTCTCTCCGCCATCGGGCCGGCTCACCGCGAGGCAGCAGTCCATCCTGATCCAGCCGGCGCGCGTGCCGGACGCCGGTCGGAGCCTGGCTCCCCCTCACAGCAGCGTGACGCGGCGGCGGGTCGACTCCGCTGTTCTAGGCGCGCGTGCGAAACTCGTCCAAGGACGCGGAGGTGGAGGCGGTCAACTCTGCGACGATGGTGGACAGCGTGGACGTGGTCGCGATCGACCGCATCTTTTCGGGCTCGGCGCAGCTCAACGCGGACGCCATCGTCGAGTTCGTCACGCACTTGCGCGCCGCCCCGCCGGGAAGGGGGGGGGGGGGGGGGGCGGTTGGAGCGGCGCCTCCTTCACAGCGCCGCGCTGTCAACAGGTGCGCCGTCTCGCGCGAGGAGCTCGACGCGGCGGGCGACCCGCAGGTGTACTCGCTGCAGAAGATCGTCGAGGTTGCGTACTACAACATGTCGCGCGTGCGGCTCGTGTGGGCGCGCCGCCGGCAAAGTGCCTCTCCCGCCGCTGCCTCGCGCACTCTCGGGCCATCTCGGCTCCTCTCAATAGGCCCGCATCTGGGAGGTGCTCTCCGAGTTCTTCGCCGAGGTGGGGCAGCACCCCAACCTCTCGATCGCAATGTACGCCGTCGACTCTCTGCGCCAGCTGGCAACCAAGTTTCTGGAGCGCGAGGAGCGGCTGCGCCGCGCCCGCTCCAGCGCCGAGTCGCGGCCGCCCGCGGGGAGCCGTCCCCCTCTGCCCGAGAGTAGGAGCTGCTCAACTACCAGTTCCAGCGCGAGTTCCTCAAGCCCTTCCAGGACCTGATGGGTGCCGCTAAGTCGGTCGAGGCGCGCGGGGACGCTCCCCCCCCCCACACACACACCTGCCTCGCCTGACCCCCTCTCGGACCCTTCTCGGACCCTTCTCGGACCCTTTCGGACCCCTCCTCTCTCGGACCCCTCTCGGACCCTTCTCGGAACCTTCTCGGACCCCTCTCGGACCCCTCTCGGACCCTTCTCGGACCCCTCTCGGACCTTCTCCCGCCCACAGGTGCGCGACCTGATTCTCGTCTGCCTCGGCCACATGGTCCAGTCGCGCGCGCGCTCGATCCGCTCCGGCTGGTCGTCGCTGTTTGGCGTCCTCTCCCTCGCCGCCGCCGACCCGCTCTCCTCGGTGGCAAAGGCGGGCTTCGACCTCGCCAGAGACACCGTCAGAGAGCACTTTGCCCTCATCGGCGACCACCACGCGGAGGGAGTCAGCTGCATCGCGGGCTACTTGCGCCAGCGGCCGCACGTCGACATCGCCCTCTCCGCCGCGCACTGCCTCGCCGACTATGCGAAGCTGCTGCACGCCGCCGCCGCCGCAGACGGCGCCACGGGGGCCGCGGCGGGCGGCGCGGCGGGCGGCGCGGCGGGCGGCGAGCCGGCGCCGGCGGGCGGCGAGGGCGGGGGCGGCTCCCCGGCGCCGCTCGACCTCGGTCCCGCGGAGAGGTTGTGGTGGCCGCTCCTCGAGTCGCTGGCCGAGGCCGAGCGGCACGCACCGCAAGCCGGCGCGCCGCGTTTCTTTTTTTAGCTGGGCCCCTTTCTTTTTTAGGCGGTCGGCACGCACCCCAAGCCGGCGGTGCGCGCCGCCGCGCTGTCGGCGCTCTTTGGGTGCGCGGACGTCGAGCTCGCGCCGGGCGGCGCGCTGCACTCGCCGCTGGGCGTGCGCGCCTTTGGGGAGCTCGTCCTGCCGATCTTCGCCGCCGCGCCGTCCGAGTCGGGCCCCCCGCTGACGGCGCACCAGGCGGGCGGCTGGCTCGACGAGACACTTCCTAGACACTTCCTAGTGGACGCTTCCGAGACGCTTCCGAGACGCTTCCTAGACACTTCCTACCGGACCAGGCGGCGTGGGTCGACGAGACGGGAGTGCCGGCGCTGTCGGCGCTCGAGCGGTCGTTTTGCGCGCAGCACAGCCTGCTCGCGCCGCTGTGCGAGGACGTGATCGCGCTGCTCGCCCGCTGCCTGCAGCAGCCGCACCACGCGACTCTCTCGCAGGTCGCGCCGCCGACCGTGCACGCCGCGGCTCGGCCGCGCGCGCCCAGCCGAGACCAGCCGAGACCGCCGCCCGAGGTAGGTCGCCGCCGAGTCTCTGCTGCAGCTCGTCCGCGAGACGGGCGCGAACCCCTCCCCTACCCCCCACGGTACCCGAACCCCTCCCCTACCCCACGGTACCCGAACCCACCCCTCGCCCAGGCGCCACATTCTCGCAAGAGACGTGGGCGCGCGTCTGCGCCGAGCTCAAGTCGTGCTTCGACGCGTCGGCGGGCGAGGCGTACGACGGCGCGCCGCCGCCGCCGGCGGACGGCGTCGCCGCGTCGCCGCTGCTGCGCGAGGTTTCGGCGAAGGTGGAGGCGGAGGCGCCGGAGGGCTCGGGGCCGCACGAGCTGCAGGTGCTGCTGCTCTCGACGGTGTACCAGCTGCTGCAGTCGATGTGCGCCGCGCCCGGGGGAGCGAGGGGCGAGGCGGGGCGGGCATGGGGCGAGGCTGGTCGAGGAGACGGGGCGGAGCGGCACCGCCCTCACGCTGGAATCCCGCCTCATCTAGACTCACGCGCGGGGTGGCCAGCACCCAGCACTCAAGCCGATGGCACCCCCCGCCCCCGCCCCCTCGGACGGGCGCTCCCCGCCTCACAGCCCCCGAACGGCGCGCCGGCAGGTACCCGTCGATGAAGCTGGCTGACGTGGAGGGGCTGCTCAACTGCATGCACGCGATGTACGACAAGGCGTCGCGCACGCTGCAGGCGGCGCTCGACGGAGAGGCGGCGAGGACGTAGCCGGGAGATCGCCGGGGAGATCGCCGGGAGATCGCCGGGGAGAGCGCCGGGAGGTCGCCGGGAGGTCGCCGGGAGGTCGTCGGGAGATCGCCGGGAGGTCGCCGGGAGGTCGCCGGGAGATCGCCGGGAGGTCGCCGGGAGATCGCCGGGAGATCGCCGGGAGGTCGCCGGGAGGTCGCCGGGAGGTCGCCGGGAGGTCGCCGGGAGATCGCCGGGAGGTCGCCGGGAGGTCGTCGGGAGGTCGCCGGGGGTACGCCGGGAGGTCAGTGGGAGGTCGTCGAGATGCAGCCGAGAGGCGGCCGCCGTTCGATTGCGGGTCGCCCCCCCCCCCCCCCGGGCCGCCGTCCGAGGGTATCGAGCGGGCTGGTCCTTTTTTGGGCCTCACCCGGGCTCCCGCTTCCTCCCCCCCCCCCCCCCTTTCCCCTGCCGCCCCCCCCCGATTCGACGCGGCTGCCCCTCGCGGCTCGGCCCTCCGACGGCCGTCCCTCCGCTGCGTCCTCCAGGCGCCGCCGCCGGCCGAGCTCGGTGAGGCGGTGCGCTTGCGGCTCGACGCGATGTCCAGGACACGTCCCGGACACGTCCCGGACATGTCCGAGACCATGTCCACAGGTGCACCTGCGGCTCGAGGCGATGTCGTACTACCTCCAGGTCCTCTTCTCGCTGCACGACAAGCTCGAGCCCGCGGCGCAGGCCGGCACGCCCAAGCGGGGCGCGCCGCCGCCGCCGCTCGGCTCGGCAGGGCACGTGCAGCTGATCGCCGCCGCCGCAGAATACCGCCTCGTCTCCTTTTGCCTGCACGTGCTGCGCGACTACCTGCGGTTGCGCGAGCGGTCCGTCGGGGGCGCCGACGGGGCCGCGCGCGAGCTCTGCGCCACCGCGCTGGCCGAGATGACGCCGAACGTCGTGACGCTGCTGCAGGGCCTGCTCGCCTTTTCGGGGCCGCAGTTCGGCAAGCACTTGCCCGCCTTTTACCCGCTGCTCGCCGACCTCATCCACTGCGAGTCGCCGCAGATCGCCGCCGTCCTGCGCGAGCTCTTTGCGCAGCGCGTCGCGCCGCACTTGCAGGCGGAGGCGAGCTGAGGGCGGCCGCCACGGTGGGGCGGGGTGCGCGGGCGGCGGCTGCCGCTGACGGCCGCGATGGTTCCGCCGGGCTGAGCCGTGAGCCCCCCGGGGCGCGGGGGCGAGAGAGAGAGTACGCAGGGCGCGGTGTGTGTCCGAGGGAGCCGCACCCCGGAGTGTCGTTTTCGCCATATTGGTTTTTAGATTTTGGCACAGCACTCCACACGCACACACGCATCCCCCGGGGACAGAGATGTGTTTTGGGCAGGAATGGGGCTTGAGCTCTCTTGCAACTCTTCACATCCCCAAGAGCGCACGTGGTCCTTCAAGCCTCCTTCGGTCGGCAAGGTCCAAGGAGGTCTCAGGTCACGCTCAGGACTCACACTCAGCCGCAGCCCACACGATCGTTTTAAGAGTACCAAAGAGCAGCGTACGTCGCTAGAAGTCACGGTGCTGCTCCACGCACCGTCGGGTGCGTGGGCGGTAAGGAGGAGGCGCGCGGCGCGTGCGGCCCTAGGGTGACTGGAATGTGGAAACAAAATATATTATCAGAAACCAATACGTCAGTAGAGAGAATAGACTACAAAACTTCGGCGACCGCGTCGGCGCGCCGATACGCCCGAAATAGCGATGCAATCGCAATTGCTCCCAAATAGCAAATCCGCGCTCTCGGCGCGTATAGCCGCGTGCCGCGTAATCACGTAAAAGCAATTGAGTTGCTTTTGCGTGACGTAATATCCCGGAGTTGGAGTGTGTGAAGAGAGAGAGTGTGTTTTGAGAGAGTTTGTTTGTGTTTTGTGTGTGTGAATGCGCACCCGCGCATTCGATCATGGAGAGGCACGCCCCTCGCTGGGCGTCACACTAAACTCACAAGGGACTCTGCCGCAGTGCCTAATACCCCGGTCACCTTAGGGGGAAAAATTTTTATTCTCCCATACGTGCTCGTACTCCTCCTTCGCTGTCCCATCTCCTCGTCTCTTTCCCGCCTGGGCGGGGCGGTGGGCGGGCGCGCGGTGCGGCATGGCGTGTGCGTGTGCGTGACTGCAACGGAGGACCGCTCGCAGAGGACCATTGGGTTTGGCACCGGGCCGGTCGGTGCTTGCACTTTGAATGCCGTGGGGCTCCTGCCCGTGTCCGGGCGTGGAGATGCGAGGGTCGCCCCCCCTTGCCCCACCACTTTGTGTGTGTGGAGACGTTTACCTTACCTTACCTTACTATTAACAACGAAGGCGCTCTCAAAAAAAAATTGCGCATGCGTGGGACGGACGGGTGCTCTGGCAGGTTCGCGTGCCGAGCCGGTACAGGCGCCCTGCCATCCTTGTACTACGATCTCTTAACAGTACCTACGCATCCGGACACACGCGGCATGGCCGACACGCTCATCTACGTGCCGACCAACAACTGCGCACGTGTGATGATCTTCCTGCGCCTAAATGGGCTAGAGCACGAGGTCTCCATCAAGTCGCCGTTTGATTATGGCGGCCTCGACACAGACGCCTACCGCGCCATCAACCCAATGGCAAAGCTGCCTGCGCTCATCACCTCCGCTGGAGACACAGTCTTCGAGTCGCAGGTGATTGTCGAATACCTCGCGGACAAGTACTCGCGCCGACTGACCGAGCCCTGCCTCCCGTCGACGCTAGAGGCAAGGACAAAGGCGTTCCTCCTCGGAGCTCGTACCCCCCCCCCCACCCCCAAGCCCACGCACCATGTCAGGGTATCGGTAGGCGCGCTTGCTGCTGCGCATTCACGATATGTACGTGAGCGGCGCGAACTGCACGACTGATCCTGCCGTCTGGGCCAACCAGGGCGCCATGTACAAGGAAAAGATGCCGCTGGAGGAGCGCAAGGGGAGAGCTGCAGACCTCTGGAAGCAGCTCGAGGTGATCGAGGGGCTGCTGGACAGCGACGGTCCCTTTGCCGCGGGCGAGCTCTCGCTGGCAGACTGTGCCCTCTACCCGACCTATGTCTTTGTGGTTGAGCTGGCGCCCATCTCGCTCGGATGGGAAAAGCCATTCGATAAGCTGGAGAAGACTAAAAAGTGGTTCGCCTTCTGCGAGGCGCACGAAGTCCTCGGCGTCGTCGGTGCCGACGTGCACGCCTTGGTGAAGAAGATCCTAACCGCCCAGGCCGAGGGGGTTGCGAAGCAAGTAGCGGACGCGGAGGGCATGGCGGAGGGGCTGAAGGCACTTGCTCTTTGCGTCTGAGCTAGAGAGCATGGCCTAGGAGGGGCTTTGCCGATCTTGGTTGGTGTACGTGCGCGCCCCGTGGATTTTTCGTTCTCTCATACCGTAAATTCTTGCGCTTGCGGCGATCAGCGAGGCCGAGGCGCGAGGGCGGGGACAACGCGGGAGCGACGAGCGCGGTTGCGTGCGATTTCTTCCCGCAAATCGTGTTGGCGGCCGCCCCTCAAGCCCCTTCCCACCAAACTCAGCAAGAAAACAGCATGCCGAGTTCATTTTATATTTTCAGAAAGAAAGAAAGAACACAGACAACCCAAGGGAGGGATGGGAGGACGGCACGCCGCCACCACACAGGGATTTTAAGGAGAGGTGTGTGATGCGCTAGCCGTCGCCCACCCTAGGGAGTCTGCCTCTTCCTATCTCTCTTCGCAGTCTCTCGCCGCTTCTCGCTGCAGCCTTCATGCCACCTCGCGGTCGTCCCACTCTCGTCGTTCTCTCCCTTGTCATTTCCTCCTCTGTCGCGTCGTTCTCTTCTGTCTCTGTCTCTTGTGAGAGAGAATTTGTCAAATTCTTTTTTTGCCTGTGTCCGTGCCAGTGCGCGCCAGTCCCGCGCCCCCTGTCAGGGTAAATCTTTTGTTTCTGTATCGCGCCTTTTCTGATTTGTTTGGGGGGCACCGCTTTCCGTTTGGTGTTACGTAGTGCCAGTGCGCGCCACGCCCCCCCCCCCTTCCCTCCCAAAGAAAGAAAAGAAACACAACCTGCCTCCTCTTGCGAGAGCGTTCCCAAAACTCTTTTATTTGCGCCAGTCCCGAGTCCAAAAAAGAAAGAAAAGAAAGAAAAGACGCAGGCACATCGAGAGATTCTTTTATTCGACGGGGAGGATTGGGAGGGGGAGGAGCGGCCGGAGGAGTACGCCGGCCTCTTTGACGACCCGTAAGGGGCCGTCGCCTGCTGTGCCATTTGTAGTGCCAGTCCGAGCCAGTCTGCTGTGAGAGGGGCTTGCATCGTAAAATTCTTTTATTCGACGGCGTCCTCTCAAGCAAGGCCGTCGAGCGGACGCGCTGAAATGCTCGCCTTTGCAGCGATGTCGCCACAGCTCGCCGCGGGTAAAGAACCCGTCTGCGTGCCCTACCTGTGCAAGGAACGACAGGCCGAGCGGACCGCACTGCTCTTGCGCCTCACGAACCGCGGTGAGGCGCTCCCAAAGCTTTGGCAGGGTGTCGCCTGCCTCGCGCTCTTGGCACTCGATCATGCGCGCAAGGGCGACGGGTCCGTGATTCCCGAGCTGGCCGGCCTCAACAGCTCGATTGAGCACGTGTTGTTAGACACTCGCTCGGACCCGGCGTCGGGGGTCACGGCGTACCGAGCCGCGCGCGCTAACGGCGCCTCGTCGATCGTCGGCGCCGCGCGCTCGGCCGTCAGCGTGCCGCTCGGGTACGTGGAGACGGAGGACGTCATGCCCGCGGTGAGCTACTGGTCCTCCACGCCCGCGCTCTCCGACCAAAAGCTCTTCCCTCTGTTTGCGCGAACCTTCCCGAGCGACAGCGACAGCGCGGCCGCGATGGTGACCGTCCTCCGCAACATGGGTGTGCCGAGTCAGACATCTCCGGCTCGATGTCTCCACTCACGACACACTCCTCCGCTTCCACCCTACCCACACCACCACCACCCCCGGCACACTCGCAGACACACCCGCACAACACGCCCACGACACGCCCACGCCCACGACGCCCACGACACGCCCACGACACGCCCACGACACGCCCACGCCCACGACACGCCCACACAGGCTGGGAGCACTTCTCCGCAATCAGCGTGGCGGACGAGTACGCGAACGGGTACATGCAGGCCGTCTCGCGCAACGCCGCCGCGTGCGGCCTCACCCTCTCGCGGGTGAGCACCTTCGAGTACGGCAACGCGGACTCTGCCGCGCGCGCGGTGCAGGGGCTCGTCTCGGGCGGAGCAAAGTCAGTGTGTCAGTGCTACACGCCTCCTAGCAGGGAGGACGGGCCCACACGCACACACACGCGCTGCACACGATTGGCTCGGGAGCCGGCACGAGGCACACTGTCCCCGGCCGTAGCACCGGGACCGCCGACCTGTCTTCCTCTCCGCTGTATTCACGCGGTGAAGATGTTGGCGTACTCCCCATCTCCCCCACCCGCTCCCCCGCACCCCTCCGCCTCGCCCTCCCCACCGCCGTCAGCCTCTCTCCTTCACGCCACCGCCCTGTCCTCCCGGCCATCACGACCCGCCTTCTGCACCACCTACGCCCCCCTCCCCTCTCCCCCACACAGCATCGTCACCGCGAACATCGTCCTGCTGATTGCCTTTGATGTGGACCTGCCGGCGATCTTCGCGACGGCCGACGAGCTCGGCATGCTCGACGCGCCCTACGCCTGGTTCGCACCGGACTCCTTCTTTGCGTCGGACCTCGGCGCGATGCTGGCGGCGGGGCAGAGGCTCTGGGAACCTTCCCCGAATCTTCTCTGAACCTTCCTAGGCGCGCTGCTGGCGGCGGGGCAGCTCACGGCGGGGCTGTACGGCAAGCTGGCCGGCTTCAACCAGGTCTTCATCTCGCAAACGTCTCTGAAGCTTCTGAACCTTCCCCGAACCCCTTCCCCGAACCTTCCACCAGGTCTTCATCTCGCAAAAGTCGAGCGCGGGCTACGCGCGGTACGCGGCGGCGCGGCGGCAGGCCAGCTCACTCATGCTCACAGCTGTGATGAGGAGTGGTGAGCGAGTGATTAGGTACGAGGCGGCGTGGCGTCAGCTCACTCCCGAGAGCTGCGAGGCGCTCGGCGAGGGCGGCGTCGGGCCGAGCGGCGACAACGGGTACATCGCGGCGGCTCACGGGGCAGCTGCGGAGCACGGCGTCTCTTCACACCGTCGGCGCTGTGAACACAGGTACAACGCGTCGCGGCTCACGGCGGCCGACTTTCGCGGCCCTCCGCCGGAGGTTGGCAGCTACGCGTACGACGCCGCCGCCGCCATCGCCCTCGCGATCCAGAACTGCAGCTCCAACGGCACGGACGGCGCGCTGCGCGACCACGCGGCGGCGGCGGCGCGCGGCCAGGAGCTGGCCGCCGCGATCCGCGGCCTGGCCTTCTCGGGGGCGAGCGGCGAGGTTGGCTTATAGCCAGGGAGGGGAGAGGGGAGAAGAGCCGCCGCGAACCCTGCCACTCTGCAGGAATTGCCTGCGGGGGTGGATGCCCATGGGGGAGGGGCTTCCGACCCGTTCGGCCCAACCCACATGGAAGAACTCCCCCAAGGCGGCCTCCCTCTCCCTCCCCTCCCACCGGGCCTCCCTCTCCGCCTCCTCCCACCGGGCCTCCCTCTCCGCCTCCTCCCGCCAAGCACCGACAGTCTCGTTTGGGGCGGCGTGGCGGAGACGGGGGGGTCAGATCTTGAAGCCAAGCTTGCCTCGTCCCACTTCTCCTAGGTTGGCTTCAAGCAGGGGCTCGGCGACCGCGCCACAAACGGCCTCGACATCGCAATGTTCAACTGGCAGCTGCAGCCGGCGGGCGGCGGCGGAGGAGGCGAGCGGTTCGCCGACGTGTCGCAAAGGGAATCGAAGCGGATCGAAGGGGATCGAAGGGGATCGAATCTAGGCGAGAAGCTTGCCGACGTCGCGGTGCTCCGCTACTCGCTCAGCACGCTCCTCACGCCCGGCGGCGAGGCGTGCGCCCAGAACGCGACCTCCGCTCTCCCCGAGCCAGACCCGATGTGGGTCTGGTTGGGCGGGGGGAGCAGCCCCCCGCGCGACCGCCTCGTGGTCGAGCGGGAGCGGCTGGCGGCGGACCTCGCCGCGTCGCAGCAGCGCGCCAGGGAGGCGGAGGAGCGAGAGAGGCAGAGGCAGGTGGTCCTCGGTGCAGTGCTCGGCCCCGCCCTCCTCCTCCTCGCCGCCGGCGTGCTGCTGGTCGTGCGGCACTTCAAGCTCGCGAAGCGGCGCCGCCAGCTGGCGTGGCCCGCTCCACGCGCCAAGCCGGACATGTGTCCGGGACGCGTCCGCGACATGTCCGAGACATGTCCTGCAGGTGTGGCGCTCCACCCGCAAGCCGCCGCGCTTGCGCTCCAAGGCCGACGGCGCGAGGTGGCCGCCCGCCGCCGGCTGCTCGGTGAATGCGAGCCGCGGCGGGTTCCTTCTAGGCGAGCGGCGAGTACCACCTCTTTCTCTCGCACACGTGGAGCAGCGGCCAAGACCAGGTGCGCACCCTTCGAGCGCACCCTCCCCTACCCCACACGGTACCCGAACCCGACCAGGTGCACATGATCAAGCGGCGGCTCGCCCCTCCCCTACCCCACGGTACCCGAACCCAACCTCCCCTACCCCACACGGTACCCGAACCCGACCAGGTGCACATGATCAAGCGGCGGCTCGCCACGCTCGCGCCGCAGATGAAGATCTTCCTCGACGTCGACGACCTAGAGGAGTTCGGCACGCTCGCCGACAGAGAGAGCATATTCCACCCGAAGAAAAAATCCAGCCGGACATTACGTCATCACGTCACGTCACGTCACTGGTACTCCCCTACCCCCACGTGACCCGACACTGCTGTGAATACGTCCCTTTCCCATACTGTGACCTGGTAGCATATTCTGGCTGCAAGCCCCCCCCCCCCCCCACCCACCCACCCGAGACCAGGGACAGGACTACACAACACCCGCAGCAGAACCGGTGGGACTGCCCCCCGCCACCACTCGCCCTGGGCCTAGACAGAATCGCGTGCCCCGACGACGGCGAAACACAGGCACGCTCGCCGACAACGTCGCCGCCTCAGACGTGGTGCTCCTCTTCCTCTCGCGCGGCTACTTCACCTCCAAGGCGTGCAAGATCGAGTACACGGCCGCCTGCCGACTGGGCGCGAGCCCCTCCCCTACCCCATAGTACCCGAACCCACCACCCTCCCCTACCCCCATAGTACCCGAACCCACGGCCGTTCGCCGGCTGGGCACGAGCCGGCAGTGCTCGTGCACGCGTCCTGCCGAGCCCCCCCCCCCCCTCCCCGCGGAGCCTTCTCGGAAGCTTCCTGTGTACCTTAGGCAAGCCGGTCGTCGTCGTGCACGAGTCTGACGAGAACCACGGAGGCGCGCCGAGCTCACCCGAGATCCGCCCGAGATCGCCCGAGATCGCCCTAGATTCACCCGAGATCGCCCGAGATCACCCGAGATCACCCGAGGGCATAGGCGCGCCGCTCGAGGAGCTGCGCGACCAGTGCCCCGACGAGTGCCGCGCGCACCTCTTCGGCATCATAATAAGAGCGATACGTATATAATCACATTGTCTATGATTCTCACAGTGGATCCCTGTAACAACTCATCGCTAACGCTTCTGAGATTGGTACAGATGATCCACTCTGAGAATCATAGATAACATGATCCTACACGTAGGCAGCCGGGCGGTGGTGCCGTGGCTCCGCTCCGCCCCCTTCCAGCTGGTGACGCGAGATCACCCGAGATCACCCGAGATCACCCGAGATCACCCGAGATCACCCGAGATCACCCGAGATCACCTTCCAGCTGGTGACGCTCCAGAAGAAAGAACACATTCTTGGCTTCAAGCCCCCCGAGGGGACTAGGGACAGAACCACACCAGTCTCGGACTAGAGGGACCGCCCCCCGCCCCCACGTGCCCTGACTGCACAGGACCGCGTGCCTCCAGGTGACGCTCAAGAAGATCGTCGCCGTCGTGCTGTCCGCCGGCGGCGGCGAGGCGGTCGCGGAGCCGGGCAAGCAGGCGGGCGGAGGGGGTGAGATAGCCAGGGTGGCCAGCGAGCCGTCGACTCTTCCCCGAGAGTCGCGGGTCGGCGGAAGCTCGAGCGGCAAGCTGGAGCGAGCCAAGTCGGCGTCGGCAGAGGCGGCGAGGCGGGCCACCGCGAGGGCGATGGCGCCGCGCGCGCCGGCCAAGAAGGTGGAGTGGGAGTCGGCCGACCTGTACTTGCACAAGGAGCTCAAGCCGGCGGCGGGGCTGGGGCCTGGGCCTGGCCTGACGCTCCTCTACTCGCGACACAACCCGGGCGCGCGCCGCGTCGCGTCGCAGCTCGCCGCGACGGTCGCCGGCTGCGTCGCCGTCGAGGCTCCCGCGAGCGTTGGCGGCGGGCGGGTCTTGCCGCTCCTCGTTCTCAACGCGCGCACCTTTGAGGGCGCCGACGGGGAGGCGTGCTCCCCCGAGAGAGCAGCCGAGAGCACACCGAGAGCAGCCGAGAGCAGCCGAGAGCAGCCGAGAGCAGCCGGGGTGAGAGGATGCCGACGGGGAGGGTGCCTGCTTGGTGCTCGCCCTCCTTGCGGCCCCTCGCGCGATTGCTCGTTGAGAGACCGGGGCGGGCCGTCTCTCCTGTCCAACAGCCCGTCTCAGACTGCCAGACAGTCTCACGTGGCCACACCAGGCGCTCGCTGGGGAGGTGTGCGGCTGGCGAGCAGCCTTCAAGGAGACGGTGCGCGCCAACGAGCGGTTGAGGCAGCGCCAAGAGGCAGCCAGTGGGTTGGCGAAGCTGACGAATCGACTCGAGGCGCTCACGGGCGTGGACGTCGACGGCGACGGCGACGTCAACGAGAAGTGCCTCGCAGAAGCAGAAGGCCGCGGGCGTTCACTCACTCTCGGATCGAACGTGCAGAGCCGCCAAGACTCCCTCGGCGAGGCGTCGGGCCGGGCGCAGCCCAAGCACGGCGGAGCGGTGGGCGAGGCTAGCGAGCGCGTGCGCTCCTCGTCCTCCGCCTCGGGGGCGGACTCGGAGTCGGAGGAGCCGGCGGGCGGCGTGGAGATGGGCAGGCTGCTGCTCGTGCACATGCTCGAGCCCGAGGACGACGGCTGCCGCTTCGAGCAGGTGATGGCCCAGACCCCGCAGCACCTCGTCGACGACAAGCTCTACTCGCAGATCGCGCTGCCGTGGTTCCACGCGCCAGACTACCGCGCGGCCGCCCTCGCGGTGCTCTCGCACACGCTCGTCAAGGAGGGCTCCTCCGCACCGTCCAGCCGGGCCAGGGGCGGCACGAGGTGGTGGCCCAGCACGCGGCGGGCCCCCGCCACGGAGCGCCGGGCGTCGGGACGGCTCATGTTCAGGCGGCGGAGCAGCGCGCCCGTGTGATGGGCGGCCGCGCGGAACAATCTACATGGTAGCAAAGTCTGAAAAAGTCGTCCGACCGCGCAGAGCGGTCTGGCTGTCTGCAGAGCTTCCGTCCGCGAGCCCTGAGAAATGTCGGAGGCATGTCGGCCCATGTTCGCGATTTTGATGGCGTTGCCCTTATTGCACGTGAAACAGACCGCGCCGGCCACGCACCCTTGTTCCCGGAGGCCAACTCGAACAGGTTTGAGCAATGGCCGCCTTCCATGCTCGACACGTCCGCCCGCCATCAAGTTGTACGATGAAAAATGCAGCAGGAACTTAGTTGCCTCGAAGGCCGCCCTGCTCGAAGGCCGCCCTGCTCTCGGCATTGTGTTGTTGACTGATAGCACTGTCTGATCCAACCAGAAAGAGCCGTCGAAGAGCCGTCGAGAGCTACATGAGACCCAAGTCGTCATGATGTACCAGAAAACGAAACTAGCGCCAAAATTGAGATCTCAGGATTGACATTAATTTCTCGCGCCTGCTTTCGCTGCTTGAGGCTCGCCAAACAGATACTGCGTCTATGGCCGTGTGCAACGTCAAGTCGTTATATAACCGCGACAAGACCATCGCGCCAACCGCGACTCTGTTGCTTTTATGCGGCAGCATTCACCGTGACTCTTGCCGTGAATGGTTAGTGACCGCAATACTACGCCGTGAGCTGAGCTTCACCAGCCGTTTATCTTCCTTCCCTTGCCTTCTCTTGCCGTCCGTTCTCTGTGCGCATTCCACTGCATGCATGCGGCATCACAAGCGTCTTCTGCCGGGCGCGCATCTGAACTCGTACCTGGTAGGCCATCGCTTTGCTGAAGGATCAGGCGCCTGAATGGCGACAGTGAGCGTCTCCTACTTATGGATTGCGCTCAAGGTACGAGGACCGCAAGAGCGCGCCGCAGGCGAAGCGATTTTTTTGGCGGCAGGGCTGTTCCAATCTTGTGATCACGCGCGAGCCTGTGAATACGCCCCGGAGGCCTCAACCCCCAACTAAAGGGTTGACGGGGGGTCTCAACCGTCAACCAGATGGTTGAGGGGGGGCCTCAACCCTCAACCCGTCAACCACCCCTCTGAGCAGACAACTCCCTCGCACAACACTGGGCACGGGACTGGCGCGCACTGGCGCACTGGCTCCTAGCCCGAGAGGGGAGCTTCCGAGACCCAATACGTGACCACGCACACATCATCCCGCGGCCTCGCGGTCGGCGGGATTGCAACCAGTCATCGCGTGCCGCCTGTCGTTCGACTCGGGCGCCTTGGGCGTCGGGGTGGCGAGCAGGGGACGCAGCTCTGAGCGCCCAGCGACGCGTGCCGGATGGATGGAGTCCGGCCGCGGGTGACTAGGGGAGTTCGCTCAGGATGTGTGGCAGCCACGTTGGCTGAGTGTCTTGTCTTGTGGTTCTGTGTGTCGCTCCTGTGTGACCGTCATCGCCCGTCTAGCGTCCACCCATACCGCGTTGGTGTCCCAGTCGTTGGTCGGACTGTGTTTCGCCTCTTCCCATCAAATGTATGTTGACATTGAGGTGATGAGGAGTCTGGCCGCGCGGCGGGCGGCGGGACGGACGTAAGATAATGAATCGATGATTCGATGATCAGGCGTAACAAGCGCGATTGCACAAGGGGTGGAAGAGGGTCTGGCCACCGCGGGGCGAGGGAGGCGGTGGGCCAGATGCCGGATCCGCTGTGCGCGTTCGTTGGTCAGGGCGCGGCGCTGACCGCGGCGGCCTGGGCCGCGGCGGCGTGTTTGTTTACATTGAGGTGATGTGGAGTCTGGCCGCGCGGCGGGCGGCGGGACGGACGTAAGATAATGAATCGATGATGCGATCAGGCGTAACAAGCGCGATTGCACACAAACACACGTCGCAAAGCCGGCGGAACAAGGAGTGGCGTGCGCGGAAAACCGAGGCCACGTTCCATATGGCCGCAGACGCGCGCGTTGCTGAGCTTCAGAAGCGCATCAAGGTGGCCGTAGAAGAAGAGGACTACATCAAGGCGGCAGCTAGCGAAGTTTTTTCTTTTCTTCTCACCCTTCGCTGAGCCATGTCTTCTCACCCTTCGGTATATCGCGTATGCGCATACGAATTACGATGTCTGAACACTACCCGCCGAAGAATTACCCGAGGTACTATTCTGGATACTGAGGGTATGTGCTGCTAGATCTCACTGAGCTGAGCTCGTATCTGGCTTTGGTAAGCAGTTTTGAGTTCGGTAATGTCTCCGGAGACGGAGGGCCGCGTCCGCGGACGACCATGACGTCGGCCGGGATCCCCCCGTGCGGGGGCCTTCGACGCGCCGTTTTTACGATACTTGCTTCAGCTACGTGCGTGAATGGGAGGTGTGATGCAGCATCCAGGCGTTAAAGAAGACGACATGAATGGTTCACAGAGAATGTGTGTTCAGACCTTTGCGCGGGGGGTGTGAACAGCCATTCCGCGTGGTTGAGGGGTTGAAGGGGTCTGTCAACCACTTGGTTGAGGGTTGAGGCCTCTGTCAACCACGTGGTTGTGACAGTTGAGGCAATCGGCCTCAACCACCGCTCTGAGTAGAGAGTTGGGTGTAAAATTCTTTCCTGTTAGTGCCAGTGCGCGCCAGTCCCGTGCTCGGGCGGGTTGCACTTGGAGCACTTGGAGTGCAGTCAGTAACCGCACATCCAGGGCCGGGGAGCTCAGAAGCGCACCCAGCGGGCCGGATGATTGGCATCGGGTTGCGGGCAAGAAAGCCCTAGCCATGGGGGTGCGCGTTCGCAGGGAAAGGGCCTTAAAGTAAACACGGGTCTCCGAGGGTTAGCCCCGCGTCCCGGGGTGCAGGAAATTCTTTTCTTCGCGAGGGAGGATTGGGAGGGGGAGGAGCGGCCGGAGGAGTACGCCGGCCTCTTTGACGACCCGTAAGGGGCCGTCGCCTGCTGTGCCATTTGTAGTGCCAGTCCGAGCCAGTCTGCTGTGAGAGGGGCTTCTATACTAAAATTCTTTTCTTCGCACCTGTGTCGAGCCTGTCTGCTGTGAGAGAGAGTTGTTCTGTTTAAATTCTTTTCTTCGCGATGTCCACCCCGCCGCGCCGCCGCTCGCGCCGCCTCACCCCCGCCACCACCGCCGCGCCCTCGCCGAACACGCCGCCGCCCGCCCGCCTCCTCGACCTCCCCAGGGAGCTCCTCGAGCGCGCCCTCTCTCGCTGCGACAGCCCCGTCGACATCGCTCGCGTCACGGCCGTCTCGCTGCTCTTTCACTCGCTCGCGGAGCAGGGCATCCGCTTGTGGGCGCAAGAGCGCGGCTTCGAGCTGCTGGCGCAGCCCGAGGGCGAGAGCTGCGCCGTGCGGTGGCTGTGTTATTCTGCGCTGCTTCGCGAGGCCAACCCGCCGGCGAGGGCGGCCGCAGGCCACTACCACAGCCTCTTCATTGACGGCGAGGGGCGGCTCTCGTCGTGCGGCTATGCGCCGGATCACGCCCTCCTCGGTCACGGCGAGGGCGTGACGCGGCTCAACACGCCGACCCGCCTCTCCTCTTCGCTGGGCGAGGAGCGTGCCGTGAGCGTGTCGGTTGGGTATTGCCACAGCCTCGCCCTGACCGCCGACGGCGCTGTCTGGAGCTGGGGCGGTGGAGACTTTGGCAACTTGGGCCACGGTGACCAGCAGGACCAGTGGCAGCCGAAGAAGGTCGAGGCCTTGGCGGGCCGGCGCGTTGTCGCTGTGTCTGCTGGAGATTCCCACAGCCTCGCCGTCACCGCCGACGGCTCCGTCTGGAGCTGGGGCCTTGGAGGTGATGGCCGGTTGGGCCACGGCGACCAGCAGGAGCAACTGCTGCCGAAGAAGGTCGAGGCCTTTGCTGGCCAGCGCGTCGTCGCTGTGTCGGCTGGAGGGGCGCACAGCCTCGCCATCACCGCCGACGGCGCCGTCTGGAGTTGGGGCGATGGAGGCTTAGGCCAGCTGGGCCACGGCGACCAGCAGAACCAGCTGCTGCCCAAAAAGGTCGAGGCCTTTGCTGACCAGCGCGTCGTCGCTGTATCGGCGGGAGATCTGCACAGCCTCGTCACAGCCGACGGCAGCGTCTGGAGCTGGGGCAGTGGACGCTTTGGCAAGCTGGGCCACGGCGACGAGCAGCGCCAGCTGCTGCCGAAGAAGATCGAGGCTTTCACTGGGCGGTGCGTCGCCGCTGTGTCGGCAGGAGACTTCCACAGCCTCGCCCTCACCGCTGACGGCGCCGCCTGGAGCTGGGGCCGTGGAGAGGAGGGCAGGTTGGGCCACGGCGACGACCAGCGGCAGCTGCTGCCAAAGAAGGTCGAGGCCTTCGCTGGTCAGTGCGTCGTCGCTGTCTCGGCTGGAGTCTACCACAGCCTCGCCGTCACCGCCGACGGCGCCGTGTTTACCTGGGGCAAGGGCGAGGACGGCTGCCTGGGCCACGGGGAGGACCTGTCGGACCAGCTGCTGCCCAAGAAGGTCGAGGAGTGGGCGCCGGGGCAGTGATGAGAAGGGGCGAAAGGGTGCAAGGCTCTGTGTTGCCGCGCGTGCCTGTTCATCTCGTTGACGTCGCCGCCGGCGCAGGTGTGGACGAGCGATTCGTCGCGGTGGTGGGTGTACTCGCGCCACAGCTTCTTGTTCTGCACGCGCTGCACGCAGCTCAGCCTTGCGCTCGGGCAGCTCCGCGCGAGCAGCGTCTTGATGAGGAGCGCCTCGTTGCTCTGCATCGAGAGCGGGACGAGCTTCGACTCGGTCGGGCCGCCGTCCCCGCCGCCGGCGCCCCACTCATCGGGGAAAATCATCGGCAACGCAGTGCGCGGGCGGATTGCGCGAGGAGGGTCGAAACACAAACGCACTGACACAACGGGGGGGGGGGGGGCGGGCCGAGTTGATTTCTTTTTCTTTGTAAAATTTTCTTTTTTGATGATCAAGCGGAAGAGCCTTCCTTTCCTCGCGAGGCACTCCCACGGGCTGAGGCGTAGATAGCGCGTGGACACCGCAGACGAGTCCAACTCTTGCTGTCGCCCTCGCTGTGTGTTTGTCGAGCTTCCGCATGAAGTGACGCGCCTCTTCCTTATTTCCAGCGCAGCTGCCGCTCAGTATGTGCGCCAACGACGCCTGTGGTGGCTCACTGTCTTCTTGTTTCCAGTACAGTCCCTGTCTCGCAAAATTCTTTTTTTCAGTTTCGCTCGGCCGTATGTTGCCTCTGGGGGGGGGGGTCATGGCCGAGGACCCCCCAGAGACTCGTGGTCAGACCCTCCGGGCCCTTGATTTTACGCCTCATTTCGCAGTATTTTCGAGAGGAAAATCGTCCTTTGGAGCTACATGAGCCTTGAGACTGGTCAGATTATCCAAGATATTGGAGTTTCAGCCACGATTTCACAACTTTGGGGGCAAAATCGGCTCTCTGGCGGCTATTCCTAGCCCACAAACTGCTGGGGGGTGCCCACCACATGCTAGGGGGGGGGGTCCGACCCCTCCCAGAGGCTTCACCACATGCTAGGGGGGGGGGGTCCCAACCCCCCCAGAAGGTTTACCACATTCTAAGGGGGGGGGTGGGGCGTGAGTAGAAGGGCGCCCCCCTCCCTGGAAGCGATGTGCGCCTGCTCCGGCTGTTGGGCCACGGACGGCACGACTGAATGCCACAACGCCACGTGGCGGGTCAACGCCAAGGACCTCGCACGCTTCTCGCGCGAGTCCTCCGAATGGTTTGCGAGAGTGGAAAAGCTTTGCGCAGGGGCCAAGACGACCCTGCGCGTGACGACCGAAGCGTACCTCCGAGAGCGCCCTGCGCTTCTTGCGCCGGGCATCTAGTAGCATTCCGGGCCTCACCGCGCCACGTGCTCGAGCCACGTGCGCAATAAATCGGCTGCAACCCCGAGCGCCTGGCTTATGACTTATGAGGCCAACCTCGCGCTCGGCGACACAGCCACATCCGACTTGAAACGAGGCTAGGGTGCGGCACATTCATCGGACTCAACTTTTCGATCATATTTTTGATGATATAACCGTGCATTCAGATATAACCAGGCAGACGCATACCATCCACTCTTTGTGTGAGCTCTGTGTCCTGATTTGCCAACAACATACCTAAAAAACTATACACCGGGGACCGCCGGCGCCTACTCGCACTCCTCGGCCCGTCCTCTCAGTGGAAGAGGCCCGAGGCCGTCTCGCCGCCGCTGCGCGTGTCGGGCCGGCGCCCGCCCGCCGCCCAGCACGCGTCACAGACGGCGAGCTGCACTGGCCTGTGGTAAAAATCTAACCGGAAAATTTCTTTTAAATTCGCTAAAATTCTTTTCGCAGTTGGTGCAAAGCTTGGAGGGGAAGAGCGAGGTGTAACCCCTGCACGCCATAAAGCTGCTCAGCGGGGCGAAGAACCGGCGCAGCCAAAGTGCTGGCGCGGTCGCAGAGTCTGGTGCGGCTCCGGGAAGCAGCGAGGGGAGCCGAAGGAGCCACGCGGACGTACGACGGGCGTCGTCAAAATGCGGTTTTTCTTTCGGTGAGCGCGGTTTTCTTTTTCTCGCGATTTCCACCCCGCCGCGCCGCCGCTCGCGCCGCCTCGCCTCCGCCTCCTCCGCCGCCCCCTCTCCAGACACGCCGCCGCCCGCCCGCCTCCTCGACCTCCCCACGGAGCTCCTCGTGCGCGTCGTCTCTCGCCTCGACGGCCCCCTCGATATCGCTCGCGTCGCGGCCGTCTCGCTCCTCTTCCACGCCTCGCTTGCGGTGGAGGCCATCCGCTTGTGGGCGCACGAGCGCGGCTACGTGCTGCCGGCGCAGCCAGAGGACGAGACCTGCGCCGTGCGGTGGCTGTGCTTCGCTGCGCTGCTGTGCGAGTCCAACCCGCCGGCGAGGGCGGCGGCAGGCTATCTGCACAGCCTCTTCATCGACGGCGAGGGGCGGCTCTCGTCTTGCGGCAATGGAGGGCGTAGGCTGGCGGCAGCGGAGGGCGAGGAGGACGAGGACGACGACGACGAGGAGGAGGAGGAGGAGGTGGAGTTTCCAGGCCTTCTCGGCCACGGCGAGGGCGTGCTGCAGCTGAAGACGCCGACCCGTCTCCCGTCGACGCTGGGAGGCGCGCGCGCGGTTGGTGTGGCGGCGTCAGGACTTTTCAGCCTCGCTCTCTCCGCGGACGGCACCCTTTGGTCCTGGGGCTGCGGCGGGCAGGGCGAGCTGGGACACGGCGACGAGGAGCATCAGTGGCAGCCCAAGAAGATCGAGGCCTTTGCTGGGCGGCGCGTCGTCGCTGTGTCTGCTGGAGGCATGCACAGCCTCGCCCTCACCGCCGACGGCGGCGTCTGCAGCTGGGGCGATGGAGACGATGGCCGGTTGGGCCACGGCAACCTGGAGGGGCAGCTGCTGCCCAAGAAGATCGAGGCCTTTGCTGACCAGCGCGTCGTGGCTGTGTCGGCGGGAGCGTTCCACAGCATCGCCCTCACCGCCGACGGCGCTGTCTGGAGCTGGGGCTGTGGTTTGGCCGGCCAGTTGGGCCACGGCAATCAGCAGACCCAGCTACTGCCCAGGAAGATCGAGGCGTTGGCTGGGCGGCGCGTCATCGCTTTGTCGGCAGGAGGGTACCACAACCTCGCCATCACCGCCGACGGAGCCCTCTGGAGCTGGGGCCTTGGAGGCCATGGCCAGCTGGGCCACGGCGACGAGCAGTACCAGCTGCTGCCGAAGAAGGTGGAGGCCTTGGCTGGCCAGCGCGTCGTCGCTGTGTCGGCTGGAGAGCGCAACGGCTTCGCCATCACCGCCGACGGAGCCCTCTGGAGCTGGGGCACTGGCAAGCTGGGCCACGGCGACGAGCTGAACCAGTCGCTGCCGAAGAAGGTCGAGGCCTTTGCGGCGCGGCGCGTCGTGGCTGTGTCGGCAGGGGATGTCCACAGCCTCGCCCTCACCGCCGATGGCGCTATCCTCGCATGGGGCGAGGGTGAGCGCGCCCGCCTAGGCCATGGAGAGGACCTGTCGAACCAGCTGCTGCCGAAGAAGATCGAGGTGTGGTCGCGGGAGTGAGAAGGGGGGGGGGGGGGTCACGTGCGGCGAGGCAGGGTCGCACCCATATTATGTAAAAACGCTGCAGAAGAAAGAAAGAATTCTTAAAATACAAGCCTCTCTCACAGCACACTGGCACGACAAGGGCGCGGACTGGCGCGGACTGGAACCTGGTTTGTGGAGCTCCCGCACCTGTCTAGACAGTCCTGAGCCTGTCCAGACAGCGTCCAGACAGCGTCCAGACAGCGTCCAGACAGCGTCCAGACAGCGTCCAGACAGTGGCACATGGCTCCACTCTTCACAGTAAAGTCTCGTAGTCATGGCTGGACGACCCCTGACAGTACCCCTGGCGCTGCCGAGGCCACTCCCCACCCAGCCACCCACCCATCCACATGCCGCTTTCTTTCTTTACTTGCCATGCCATTGAAGGGGTGGGGGTGGGGGCTGTCTAGACAGCAGAACTAAGAGAACTTGAGAACTTGAAGTTTGAACTTGTAGTTTTGTCCAGACAGCTGTCTAGACAGCTGTCTAGACAGGCCCTCTTCACAGAAGGGTCGCCCAAAGTTCCCGCGAAGAACTCGGGCAGAGCGGCAACTGTGGCGGCAATTGGGCAACGCCAACGTCGCAACGATGCTGCGGATAAGGGCAGAGCAAGCGTGGGCACGCATTGGTCGGGTTCCATGCTGCAGCCGCGAGCCCCGCGCCGCAGCCGATGAAGAAGCTGCGGGCCGGCAGTAGCCACGTCGACCCGCCGCTGCGCATCGGGCAAAGCGCGAGCCCAGCAGTTCAGTCAGGCAAGCACGCTGCACCCACGACGGCGGCCTCGGGGCGCGCGCGACCGAACGCGCTTGCGGCGCCGCCACGCCGTCCTTTCACATCGCCGCCGGACCGCCCTCCCTCCTCCGCGACAGACGCCGCAAAGACGGCGCTTCTCGCCGCCGAAGCAACAGCAGCAGCTGTGGCAGCAGATCTTTACGTCGCTGGTGCACGCGGTGCGGACTCGCCGCAGTCTGGCGGGCGCTCGCCTCGCCCGGACCAGGCGGCCGAGCAGGCTGTGATCGCGGCCGAGGCGGATGATCGGGATGGGCTCGGGCGGGTGCCGCCTTGCGGCGCGCCGGCAAAGGAGCCTGCAGAGGCGGGGGCGATCGGCGAGGCGGCGGTGCTCGCACCTGCAGCTGACGCGCAGCTGCAGCATAGAGCGGAGGGCAAAACTAAAGGCACGGATGGTGGCTTCCGTCGGTTTCCATTGACCAAGATGTTTTGTCCACATACACTGACGTACGTCATACCACATCCATCCATCCAACCAAGAGAATGCAACTCAAGTTTTGATCGCTCACAGCTGGCTGACGTGTTGTTGAGTATCAGAGTATGATTCCTGTCTGCAGGTCTATTCACACCTCACGCGATCTTCCATGTCCAGACAGCGTCCAGACAGCGTCCAGACAGCGTCCAGACAGTGTCCAGACAGCGTCCAGACAGCAAAATCGGAGCGTCTAGACAGCTATTCAGACAGTAATAGCACTTGAGTGTACACAGCTGATTGAAGTAAAGGGGAGTGATGCAGCTGCCTGCCAGAGCAGAAAGATTCCTTAATTCTCTCCACTACAAAAAAAGTCCAGTGCGGAACCGAGATCATGGCCCCGAATGCCGTGCTCTCTAGGCAAGGTGCGGGAGCTCCACAAACCAGGTTCTGGCACACACACCGGCTCACCACCGGAGCCGCCTAAGCGACTCCGTTAAGAACGGCAATGCACTCCGCACCATGCACAATGCCGCTCTCCCCGCACGCCCCTTTTGGTGGGGGTGGGCTGAGCAGTGGTGGGGGGGGCTTAGAGGCGGCCGGCTTGAGCCCATCTGACGGGCTAGCCTCGCCGCCGCTGCCGCCGCCAAAGAGATCGCCGACCGCCCATTCCCCCCTCCTCGTTCCCCCCTCGTCTTCTCCGACCTCGCCGAGCCGACGATCTCCGAGCCTCCCCGCCCTGCACGCCCCCGCTCCCCGCCGCCCCGCACTGACACACGCCCCACACGCACGTACAAGACAAACCGGCGTTCTTGCTCTCAAAAGAAAAAAATGAGGCAGAGACCAGCGGGGGAGACTCCCCGCCTATGCAACACCCCAGAGAGGGGCTGCCATCGCCGAAGCTGTGCCTAAGCATAACTCCAAAACCCGCAGCGGCCCAGGACCGCTGCCAGGGGGCCTTGGGGGCAGCCTGCCGGACCGCCGCTGCACGGGGCTAAAGCACCAGAAGTAGATGAATGTAGTTGATGGATCGGGCTATCACCGTGCCTCCCCTCTATACGTCAGAGTGGGACCAACGCCGCGCCGGGCAAGGGGCGCGCCCGGTCCTCCGCTCGACGGACCAGCCGCGCGCCCCGAGCGGCCCAGGCGGCGAGTAGTCGTCGTTGAACCTCCGGCATGTAGTTGCCCGCGTGGTTAGCGCCCGTCCGCCCTCCGCCGTCCGTCGCTTCGTGTGACCAGCGGAGAAAGAAGTTTACCTTACCTTACCTTGTGAAACAAGCGGAGAAAGAAGTGTACCTTACCTTACCTTATATCGAGGGTCTGGAGAACGGGGGGAGGCGGTGGAGAAGGTTG